CTCTCTCTCTCTCTCTCTCTCTCTCTCTCTCTCACTCTATCTGTCTATCTCTGTCTGTCTGTCTGTCTGTCTATCTCTCTATTTATCTATCTATAACTCTCTATTTGCCTCTCGCTCGTTCACTGTCACTCCCTTACTCTCACTCACTACAACAGTGAGTCCGAGGAACCTAATGCCCAGATACCTACCTATTTACCCCTAGGTGAACAGGGGCCAGCAGGCACCAAGACAAAGCCTTCCCAGGGAATCGAACCCAGGTACCTTCGATTGCATGCACTACAGCTCACAATGACAGCCAAAAAAGAACAGCATCAATGTAGAATTCAACACTTAAAACTTACAGACAGCATCATTAACAGCAGAAAACGAAATTGCTGTTCGAGAAAGCAATGAGAACAGCTGATTATCATTAGGTACCGTTATTATGTACCGTAAATAGGCCCTGTAATTAGATACCGTAATTATGCATTGAAATTAGGTACCGTAAATAGGTACCTTAATTAGGTAACGCCAATAAGTACCCTAATTAGGTAATGTAGCTAGGTACCCTAATTAGATAACATACATAGGTATGGTCATGGTCATGGCCTGGTCATGGACCGGGCCGCGGGGGCGTTGATCCCCGGAATAACCTCCAGGTAAATTCCAGGTAACCCTAATTAGGTAACGTAAGCACTGGAAGCCACACACGACACAGAGCTGTTACACAGTCACATCAGGAGGAAGACAACAGCGGAGGCCCAGGTGATCAAGCTGAAGCAGGCAAGAGGAGAGATCTCACAAGGAATGATCAGGAAATCTCAACAAGAACGTTAGGGAGGCATTCATAGAGATTATAGAGACGTTACCAGAGAGTCATAGAGATAGAGTGCACCAGCAAGTGCTGGACATAATGCTTAAGAAATGAGAAGCGGTGATAAAGCTACTATAAATTAAACTAGAGGTCCTGAAGCAATGGAAGCAGATAATATAAGGGTGAGGTAAGGGTGAGGTTATGATGAGGTAATGGTGAGGTAATGGTGAGGTAAGGTTGAGGTAATAGTGAGGTAATGATGAGGTAATGGTGAGATAATGGTGAGGTAATAGTGAGGTAATGGTGAGGTAATGGTGGGGTAATGATGAGGTAATGGTGAGGTAATAGTGAGGTAATGGTGAGGTAATGGTGAGGTAATGGTGAGATAATGGTGAGGTAAGGGTGAGGTAATGGTGAGGTAATGGTGAGGTAATGGTGAAGTAATAGTGAAGTAATGGTGAGGTAATGGTGAGGTAATGGTTAGGTATGGGTGAGGTAATAGTGAGGTAATGGTGAGGTAATGGTGAGGTAAGGGTAAGGTAATGGTGAGGTAATGGTGAGGTAATGGTGAGGTAATGGCGAGGTAAGGGTGAGGTAAACAGGACACAATGTAGGATGGGGTAGAAAATACGGAAAATATGTGAAGATGGCTTGGATAAAGAGGCTGACTCCCTTAGATCATCTCCCTTAGATCATCTCCCTTAGATCACCTTCCTTAGATCATTTCCCTTAGAACATCTTCTTTAGATCTCCTCCCTCAGATCATCTCACTTTCATCATCACCCTTAGATAATCCCCCATTAGATAATCTCCCTTAGACACTCTCCCTTAGACGCTCCTCTCCTTTAGCTGCTCTTCCTTAGTTCCTCTCCCTTATCCTATCTATCCTGGCCATCTGTCGCTACGAATTTAAAAATAAGAAGATATAATCGTGTGGTTAATGGTGGAGACTTTGGTGGAGTGTTGGGTTAATGTTAACATATATACCAGAGGTCATGGCATAGTATTGCTATATTTACTCGAAGGTCTGAGAAGGAGGGCCTTTGACAGAAGTGTCTGAGACAGGGGTCCCAGGACAGAAGTGTCTAAGACAGGGGTTCCAAGACAGAAGTGTCTAAGACAGGGGTCCCAAGACAGAGGTGTCTAAGACAGGGGTTCCAAGACAGATGTGTCTAAGACAGGGGTTCCAAGACAGAAGTGTCTAAGACAGGGGTCACAAGACAGAAGTGTCTAAGACAGGGGTCCCAAGACACAGGTGTCTAAGACAGGGGTCCCAAGACAGAGGTGTCTAAGACAGGGGTCTCAAGACAGAGGTGTCTAAGACAGGGGTCCCAAGACAGAGGTATCTAAGACAGGGATCCCAAGACAGAGGTGTCTAAGACAGGGGTCCCAAGACAGTGATGTCTAAGACAGGAGTCCCAAGACAGAGGTGTCTAAGACAGGGGTCCCAAGACACAGGTGTCTAAGACAGGGGTCCCAAGACAGAGGTGTCTAAGACAGGGGTCCCAAGACAGAGGTGTCTAAGACAGGGGTCCCAAGACACAGGTGTCTAAGACAGGGGTCCCAAGACAGAGGTGTCTAAGACAGGGGTCCCAAGACAGAGGTGTCTAAGACAGGGGTCCCAAGACAGTGGTGTCTAAGACAGGAGTCCCAAGACAGAGGTGTCTAAGACAGGGGTTCCAAGACAGAGGTGTCTAAGACAGGGGTCCCAAGACAGAGGTGTCTAAGACAGGGACCCCGAGAAAGAGGGCACAGAATATGGGGCCCCCAAGGCAGGACACAAGCCAGAGAACACAAGAAAATGATTCCTCAGGTTTGGGGGCCCAAGATAAAAGAACGAGCCTGGGAGG